ATCCCTTACTAAACAAATATAATTAAATCTACAAATTGATCAACAGTTGAATTTTAACCATTAACCTTGATGTTAAATTCATCTATTGACATTATATTAACAGTAAATTGTAATGATGATGCTAAAAGAAGAGTTTGATTGTTCACTACAGTTTACTACAATTATTAAACTGACATGAGAGTGTTCGAGTTTATGGTGAAAATACTTTTAAACTGAAGGTGACTGTGTGTTTGGAGAGTAAGCTCAACCATGTTAGTTAGAGAACGATATGTAATGTTTAGCTCGCCATCCTAGTAATGTTAACAATAATTCTACACTTGACTGTGTATGTCAATGTGAGTAACTTCTTTGTTAATAATATGTTAGATTATTTTCTATAAGTAATGTTCGTGCAGGTGTTGCARTGTTTGAGCTGGAGTTTGTTATTGCGGCAGTACGGTAAAGTAACATTGAATTAAAATAGTATGATAATATTACCACAACAYACACCGATTATSAGAAATATGCAGAAATAGATTTATTGTGATTGACTGAAAACTGAACATTTAACATCATATATGCATTTTGAGTTGTTTAAAGAAGCGTAACATCAGCGTATTGGTGTTGATGTGTTGTAATGTGTGACTTCAGTGAAAACTAAGATTGTCTGCTACATTTAGTTTTTTGCATTAACCTTAAGCAGACCCTACTGAATATGCCATTCATGTGTTAAATAAGTGAACTTGCTAAATTTAACTATTCGTTTGTCACATGAAAATAAATAGTAGGAAGTGTTTTTTACCAAAACACGAAGAGAAGCTYCAGGATGGACACATGTATGTTTGCATTTGAAATGGAAAATAAATCAACCCCAACTGTGAAACTTGCCTGGACAATTGACTTCTTAATTGRAAATTGTACAATCCAACTGAACTGGTGCATCAGTGGCCTTTTATCTTGAAGACAACATTTTCTTGACAGATTGCCACTACACTTTAACTGTGAGGTTTTGGCATAATCCACTGCCAAAGTCCCTTCTACTGAATAAAATTCACCCTGTTCATTTAAATTTGATGTACAATAAAACTGTTATCTTCCATAAGTAGTTTATGAGCCTTATACCTTTACACTTAGTACTACACTAAGTATTTTATGAACCTACAACAGGAACAAGTATTATGTAGTACTTTTATGGTGTAGTTTAGTAGTAATCCACAGTCAACATCCCTTCTACAGAACAAAATTCAATATTCAATATTTCATCTGAAACTGCTGGTATAAATACTATGGAGTACTTTCACTGTGTAGTTTTGGAGTAATCTACGGTCTATAAGTACTTATACTAGAGAACAAAATTCAGCCATCTAACTTTTATTTGGAATCAAAATAATTTCTTCCATAAAAAGCACTTTTACTGTATAGTTTAGGAGCAACACTCATGAATGCCACCTCAATCATCCCTTTTGGGTTTGATACACTTCAGTATCATATCAAGGCACTCAGACCTTTAAATCGAATTAATATAGAGAAACCCAACAGTTCCCACAATGAGCAGGCACTTTGGCGACTGTGGAGGGAAAACTCCCTCATTAACAGGGAGAAACCTCCGGCTGAACCAGGCTCAATGTGGGCGGTCATCTGCCTCAACCAATGGGGTGAGCAAAGAAAAAGGGGGAGGAGAGGAGAGATGGGTGGAACAAGGGGAGAGAAGAGAGAGTGATAGTGGCCATAGAACATTTCGAGAGCAGAGACGTCATGAAGTGCTTTCCAGGGTAAAATAAGCATATACATGAATAAAAAACTAAATGAGTCTGCTTTTTAAAAGTTTCCAGTGTCCACAGATCTTAAGACTAAAGGGAGAGAGTTCCAAAGCTTCGGAGCCACAAKCGCAAAAGTACAGTTTCCCTTTGTCCTAAGTCTGGATTGGAGGACAGGTGGAAAGTAAGTTACAATAATKAAGACGAGACGATATAAAAGGATGAGTGAGTTTTGCAATGTTTCTCAGCTGGAAAAAACAAGAACAAATCAGACAACTAGCCGAAGACAGGGACAACAACTCCGTTATTAGCTTGTTTGACAGGCTGTAACCAGACACTTTTATACGTGGATTCTCCCGACACCTATAATCTGTATTGTTTTAACTGTTACTCGTTTAAATATAAAAAAAAAGATCCCAGGTCTAAACCTTATTTTATTCTGGTGGATTATTTCCCACATTGTCGCTTGAATTGCGTGAATCATCTTGCCTTCGTTATACTCTTTGACTGTTCCGGGCTCAGTGGGACGCACTTCACAGGAATCGATGGCCCAACATTTCCAGTAGAAGCTTTTAGTCCATATCAGGAAGAGAGAGAGAGAGAGAGAGAGAGAGAGAGAGAGAGAGAGAGTTTGTGTGTGTGAGTGAGAGAGAGAGAGAGAGAGCAGCAGGATATAAAGGACTCATGTTTGGATTGTTGATTTCAACAACTGCAGTAAATAAAGTTTCAGCTACACAGGATCTACAGGATCTACAGGTAGGCAACATCTATGTCACCCGAACATGTATCCGAGGTAGTTGTTGTTTTTAAGGAAGAAACTGTGTTTGTGTTTGCTTTCAGGCGAGAAAGGATGTTTTTTATTTGTCTGCTGATTCTAGCGAACATAACCACTGTGATATCTCTCCCAGGTACGTATAATAATATACTGTACATGTGGATGAGTTTTTAAATAAGTAATAACCTGTCCTCTCTACCTGCGACTACAGGGGTTGGTAATCTGAGCTGCACCAACGACTATGACAAACATGTGTTTTGTGCGTTTGAAGCGCAGAACTGCTCCGAATATACTGTGACTGTCGAACGCATAGGCTTTGAKGAAGTTCGGTGAGTTGATGACTTAGTACTGYGCCAGTGGATTTCAGTGTTTAACTGTGCATTTTAAGTTTTGGTTCCAAACAATTATAATTAAAATAATAATAAACTGTATTTACAGGACACACTTAAAATCCTTATTACAAAGTGCCTCTGGGCTCAACTGCAAAATCCCTGTCCCCTTTGGTTATTAGCATGGCAGGTGGAACGGTAAAAATACCTCTGTCAGAGGAACTCATAGAGTAAGTTCTCATTCATACAGGAGTAAAATATCAAAGATAAAGCTTGGACAGAGGCCAGGGAGACCCTTAAAATTATTTAGTCAAATCTTTAACGCTTTAACAGGGTCGATATGATAAGATCTCTTAGAGCCTGGCAGCTGAGAACTGAACACATCTTATTTCTGCTTAATAGCAGCTGTTTCAATAATTCAGACGGGATGAGATGAAGGCACATAAAATGGTCTCTGTGTCTTAGTTAGTGTAGTTAAGAACAATCATAATTTTGAAATATTTTTAGCTGATACAAACAAGCTTAGTGGTGTGCTGCTCACAACTCAAACCAGAATAGTAATAATGATTGTTTAGATTGAAACTGTAGTTTTGTAAGCTTTACAATACTGCATATGTACTATTACAATCAACTGAGAAGCTAGAAACGTGATATATTCAAAGCATTTGGCACCTTCTCTTGTATTCCACAGAGAACACGTTTGCATTCCCAAGCAGTGTGAATCCCACAGTGCACAGTGTTGTTGCTCTGTTGAAATGATGATGATTCCCGGGGCGGATCAAAACGTAACGGTTTGGAGAGGAGACAGTGGAGTGGAGTCCAAAATCTTCAATACCCAAACAAGCCGTAAGTTGGCTGCTGCTGGATGAAAAGTCCACAAATCTGCAGCGCCCAAAAAAACWGATGGAAGGAAGGAATAGCAGTGGACTATTATTATTATTCAAGATGCTTTCATCTCACTTTTCTTATCCCTGTTCTTCCACAGTTAAGCCCAGAACCCCAACAATCATATCAGTGAGCGAAAGCAACACAAGTTTTCAAGTCAAGTGGAAAACCAACATGATGGACTTTATCAGCCAAACATTGAATGCTGTTGTGATMTACCYTYAAAAAGGAGAAACAGAAAAGGTACGAGAGGCGTCAGAGGAACACTGTATTACTCTGAGATCATTCGTCCTGGACATATAAATACACAGACTAGGCAAAGGCGTTTGATTTCTTGTTTCTCTATTCCAGGTCACAGAGTTGTTCACACCAACAACCATTGGCGACCTGAGTAGCTATACAATACRCGGTAAAGATTTAAAGCCAAGCACGACATATCTGGTCAGTGTGAAGAGCTACACTGATCGCAGTGGCCTGTTCAGCGACAGAAGCYATGAGTTTGAATTCACAACTCGTAAGTTTGTTCTTCTGTAGATTTTTTATCACACATTATGGCAACGTGAAGAGGGTTACAACAATAAGATAAAAAGTGTTTCATAAAGAATTTACCAACCCTACCTTTAAAGTGTCACGCACTACCAATATTTTTTATCTTATTCAACTCCTGAAATGTTCATGGTTAAGATCCTGGAGAGTAAGGGATATAGACATCCATTTTTAGAACATAGGACAAGATGGTGAATATCACTTGTACGTCTGAAGGTCTTCTGCACAAATTAAGTTTCCAACTACCAGTAGATGTGAGTAAACAGCTAATTAAAATTATTTAGTAAACTGGGACATGATGAACATCACTGGTGCCTACAATTGCTGCACGATGTGGTCACTCAAACCGAATCAAATTAAATCATTAGACTCTTTAAAGGTCTGATGATGCTAACATCTGCTGACGCAGCTTAATTTATAGATTACAGGTATTAAATAGTAGCTCAAGCTGTTGTGGGACACATACCACAAGTCTGGTTGCATGTTTAAAGGCATGTCCCACTCTCTTTTTAAATGTCTGTATTTCATCTGTACAAATTGTAAACTTCCTTCTTACTTATTACTTCACAGCTGCTGCCCCCCATAATACCAATACCCTGCTCTTGGCTCTTGTCCTCAGCCTCAGTACTGCTGCAGTCCTCATCGCCACTGCCGCATTTGGCTGTTTTGTAAAGTAAGTTGTGTAGATAAAAGATTGACTTCCCTGTTTCTCTGTCAGCAACTTGAATCTACATCTGTGTATGAAAGGTGCTAGTTAAGTGAAAATGTTTTTTTTCTGTGACTCCCTTTGTCATGGGTGACATTTTGTTTTTTTCATGTTTGATTTTAGGGTGAGGAGGACGTGGGACAACTTTCCAACTCCAAAACTTCTTATACATCCATATGCAGAAGAGGTGAGACACCCTGTAAACTTGCAGCTCCAATAGTTACATATATTTATTACCTCCACCGAGTTTGTTTGTTGGTTTGTATAAATTTACGCAAGATTACACAAAACCAACTGGACAGATTACAGATAATAATCAATGGGGGAAAAATTGGGCACATTTATGGAACTGTTATCTATGAGTGTATATAATTTGTTGCAGCTTGATTGATTGGGAACTGTTGGGCCTTGGCAGAGGTATGCACTCTACTGAGTGCAGTTCTAGTTTTTACTAAAGTAGACTTAAACATTAAAGTTATAGTCATTAAAATTGTCATAAGCTCATGCTATTTATCTTTTGCATTTTTTTCCCAGCAGTAGACAAATCTATATTTGAAATATATTGAAAATTGTCATTGTTAGTGACTGATAAGTGGCATTTAGGGACAACCCATGCCCTGTTCTGCATTTAATTCGATTGGGTAATCAATCTTTTTTTAGATCAAAACTCAAGTTACCATGACTACCACAGGTGTCTCAAAATCATTGTGTAGTGAGCCGCTTCATTCTGTCCAGCAACTTGAAGAAATCAAATTTAAAATGTCTTTTCAATAGTCAATAGTTCACGCAGAGTCTATTGGTAAATTATATTTCCAAACTGAGCCTTTAACGGAAAATGTTCACGTTTGCAGCTTTAATTGTGGTCATCCTTTTTGTTTCCAGCTCTTGAAGCCCCAGGCGCCCATCAACTCCTCTGTCAGTGTTGAGCCCCTTATTCCAGATGACAGCAAATCATGGTGAGTATGGCTGCATTGGTGCATCAACAGTATAACACATTCCCCTCTATGGGATGTCTATGAGATTATTTAGGCATTTTATTCTAAACTTGTTTCTTTGTAATCAGGTCGAAGAGGTCACTGACAGACTCTAGCAGCGGGAAATTACAGCAAAGCAGTGGAATCGGCAGTGGCTCCTCCTGTCTCAGTTATGCTAACACAGAAGCGCCTGACATTCTGGCCAGTGTTCATGATGCCCTCAGTAAAGCCTTCCCCAGTATTAGCCCAGTATCACCTTCAATCTCCAATCTGCTCAATGAATCCAACCAAGCCAGTGGTTTGATCTCCGTTCCCTGCTCTCCCTGTGAAGAGAAAGCTGTGGAGGTGAATTCTGGATCATCAGACTTCTTCAATGAAAGCTATTCACTTTTCATTTCTAGCCAGCCAAATCAAATTAGGATAGACTCTGCGTACCATCCTGTTGAGGGCAACATGGTGACCTGCCTGGACCAACGAGCACCAGCTTGTCCGCTTCTTAATTTATCTTTATTGGGTTCGCATCTAATGCCTACAGAAATGTCGTATCAGCAGTGCAATGCATATTCAGGGAAATTATCATATGAAGAAGACTCCAGTTTGTTCTCAACCTCTAGTGGCACAGACACAACCGCCTCCTGTGATCCTGCACCCAGAGTTGAGGCTGGGTATGAGACCCATTACGAGGGGGCTAGTGGGATGACGAAGCCAAATGAAGAAAGGGAGGGGGCCACCATATGTGATGACAATACCAGCCAAGTGCCTGCTGTCTCACACAGCTGTCCTCCAGTGGGTGATGCCTACCAGCCATTTCTAACTGTAGTGGGGTAGCCTGCGAGAGAGGAACCTCGAGGAATGCTGTGAGCTCCAAAGAGCTTTTCTCTCTTTGCTCTCTGCTGACATGCGGCTGTAAGGAAGCTGTGTAGCACAGATTTTTTGGTTTTTTTGTTAACCATCTAAGGTAGACTTACTATAAGCTTTGAGACTGATTTGCCATTGCAAATAAAATCAAGGAGAAGTACTACACTACCCACAACCTTCAAGTGTAGTAGCAACTTCTCTGATTGGCGGAGCTTGCTGTTACCATGGAAATGTTAACCACAACAGCAGAAAATCATTTAGGCTAAGATTGGTTCCTTCAGCATCACTACACTATACACTATTTACATACATGCAAAACATCATCGCAAAGGTTTATGGGATGTGTAGTTTCTTCACTCATAAAACAATTACTTATGCATACTTCTGTTCTCCGATATTTGTTTAGCTCAGAATGAAATGCTTTATGGTCTTGACTCATCTTGTTGCTGGTCCACACTATTTCCAGGCTTTAAACTCTTTTCATAAGGATTCTCTGAAACATCAAGGGAGAAATTGAATGGGAAATTTACTTCCAGAACCTGAGCTTTTCTAAATGGGGGCTGTCACTGTTACACTCTATAAGGGTCATTGTTAGGTTTTTGAAGAGATTGTGCCAAAAACTGTTCAGAAGGAGAATCTACACAAGCTTGGATAGATTGGTAATTGGTCACTGGATTTGATGAACCAAAGAAGTTGACTTTATTTGTACAAAACATTTTCTGTCAGAGAACAGGATGCGGTAGTTTTGAGGAGAAAGCTTTTTAATTGTGTGAAGAAAAATAGACACAGGGAATGAATGTATCCATATCTCGCATGCGATAGTCAAGTAAGGCAGTTTTTTAAATTCAAGTTTTGTGTTTTGGCAATGAATCTTGATTTTCAAGAGACCAGAAGTGACTAACGCCTGTGTCTAAACCAGCCTTGACAAACAACAGTCATGCTTTGCTGCCAGCTTTCTGAATTGTAAATGTACTTCCTCATAGCTCTTCTCTGGAACTGATGAGACGCTTCCACAGAAACCCACACAAGCCTCACAGAGAACTCTATGCATATCACCACTGTCATGAAGTAGCCTCGAGACAATGTGTAAATCACTGTTAAATGTTATTATTATGGCATATTTTTGTTCAAATAAATATCAACGCTGAGGCCTGTGTCTTTTTGGTTATTGTTATGCTGTAAAACAAAAGACGCATTTTCTATTTACCTCAGTTCATCTCAGACACATCTGAAATTAACATTTAAGTAACTGGCACAAATATTGCTGGACCCAGTGAGAAAAGGCTTTTTGTGTCTCACCATAACAACAAAAATGTCCAGTCATTTTTAAAACCAACTGACTGATTCATTGGTAGAGAATTGCACAAAAGGTTTTTCCTTCCTTAGTTTGACATGTCGAAAGAAATGTGTTGTGACAGGGAAACATTTGTAGAGAAATAACCAAAAGCATTCTTTTGAAGGTACAGTGTTGAAATTGCCTGTTGCAACACCTCTCACCTCACCCTCCACTTCCAAACATAAAAAGAAACTGAGGTAACCTTTGTCACAACAACTCAGGAGGACTCACCAAGGACCCCCTC